GTGATTTCCAGGCTGTTTTGGAACACAAAAGACCCCCATCTCAAAATTTAAATAGAGCTGAGAGATGGCTCATTGGCTAAAAGTGTTTGCTTGTTCAATCACAAGAACCCATGATGGAAGGATTCCCAAAAATTGTCCTTTGACCTTCCATGAGTCTGAGAACACAAGCTTGCATTCATTCAATCACATTCATTCATGTGTGTGCATGAGAGCACGCACAGTGACTAGAATTAAGGATACTTAGTATAATAATCAAATAAATTTTGTCTTCCAATTATTAATCCTGAGAAAACCTGCCTCCACCCTGTCTTTCCCTCCTTCCCTTCCTCCCTCCCTTCCTCCCTCCTTCCCTCCCTTTTTCTCTCTTTCCCTCCCTTTCTTCCCTCCCTCTATACCTTCTCCCTCCTACCTTCCCACTCTCCTTGGAAGCAGGCTATAATAGTGAGAATTTTATTATCATTTAAAAATATATGTGTCATCAGGCAGTGGTGGCGAACGCCTTTAATCCCAGCACTTGGGAGGCAGAGGCAGGTGGATTTCTGAGTTCGAGGCCAGCCTGATCTACAGAGTGAGTTCCAGGACAGCTAGAGCTACACAGAGAAACTGTGTCTCGAAAAACTAAATAAATAAATAAATAAATTTAAAATGTATGTGTATAGGTGTTTTGCCTACATGTAAGTCTGTGCACCACTTGTGCTTGGTGCCTGTGGACCCCAGAAGAAAGCATGAGATCCCCTGGTACCAGTATTACAGACTGTGGTGATCCAACATGTTTTTGATAAGAATGAAATCCAGGTCCTCTGGGAAAGCAGCCAGTGTTCTCTACCCCAGATGAGCTTGCCTGTCCCTTAAACCCAAACATACCCCAAGTACCCTTTATTCATACTTATCATTGCCAGGCACAGTGACTAACGTCATGCAGCAGTGTCACCGAGGAGGCAGAGGTACTTAGTCCACCGAGAACCTGGAACCCTGAGTAGAGAGGGCGAGTGAATGAAGACCAGACACAGCAGGCAAGCTGAGGTCAGGTGGGAGTGTGTGCTGTCACGGAGGAGGAAGCTGCAGCTAGGTACCAGCTGTTTACACTGGTCTCTCACTTCTACTCAGACCCTTTAAGTGTTGACCTGTCTCCTCAGCCTAGACTCTATGGGTAAAGCTTTGTCAGCTTTCTCTGGGTCCCAGGCTTGGAGCCCACCACATGGCTGTACCCATGTCAACAATACACACTTACTCAAGACTTTGCTCTCTCAGGGCTTTCCTCCTCTCCCTACATAGAGGCAGGTGGATCTCTTTGAGTTCAAGGCCAGTTTGGTCTATATACCGAGTTCCAGACCAGCCAGGGCTACACTGAGACCCTGTCTTAAAGGTGGGGCCGGGGCTGGAGAGATGACTCAGCAGTTAAGAGCACTGGCTGCTCTTTCCCTAGGTCCTGAGTTCAATTCCCAACAACCACATGATGGTGCACAACCATCTGTGATGGGGTATTGGCATTTGGGCATACATGTGGATAGAGCACTCATATAAAATAAATAAAGAAAGAAACTTTTTTTTTTCAAGACAGGGTTTCTCTGTGTAGCCCTGGCTGTCCTGGAACTCACTCTGTAGACCAGGCTGGCCTCAAACTCAGAAATCCGCCTGCCTCTGCCTCCCAAGTGCTGGGATTAAAGGTGTGAGCCACCACTGCCTGGCATAAATAAATCTTTTTTAAGAAAGAGAGAGAGAGAGAGAGAGAGAGAGAGAGAGAGAGAGAGAGAAGTGGGGTGGGGCCTGGTATAGCGGCACAAGGTTTTAATCCCATCACTTGATGGCAAATCTAGGATCTTATGTGAGTTCCAGAATATCCTGGTCTAGATATCAAGTTCCAAGCCAGCAAGACCTTGCATACTGAAACTCTGTCTCAAAACACAGAGGACTAGAGATATATCTCAATTAATAGAGTGCTTGTTTTGCATGCTCGGATTCCTGGGTTTAGTGCCAAATACCACATAAAAAGAAGGTGAGCTGGGTGGTGGTGGCACATGCCTTCCATTCCAGCATTCAAGAGGCAGAGGCAGGCAGAACTCTGAGTTCGAAGCCAGCCTGGTCTACAGCTCCAGTTCCAGGACAGTCAGGGCTATACAGAGAAGTCTTATCTTAGAAACATCAAAAAGAAAAACAAAAAAAGGAACCACAGACAAGGTGATGTACACCTATAATCCCAACACTCAGAAGGCAGATGGCCAATGAATTTCAGACCAGCCAGGACTTCAGAATCAGACCTTAATTCAAAACAAACAAAAACAAACAAAATTGCCCTCTAGAAGTTTTTACACCCAGCGTTTTGTATTAGCATAATAAAAAACTTAAATCAAAGGTCAGAGGCATTATTTGTAACTTACTGTGGGTATTTCAAAAGAACAATCTTTAGCTAACACTCAGAGATGACAGAAATAGACGGTTGCGTCACTGCCAGATTAAAAAGGAAAAGCTGAAGGTTTTCCAAAAGGAAAAGAAGAGGTGGCGAGGCGTCTAGACTGACCGCTCAGAAGTGTGTGTGTGTGTGTGTGATACCAAGCATCGGTGGGCGGGGCCTTTGTTGGGCAATGTCCACGTCTGGATGTGGCTAGTGGGCTTTTTTAGCAGCCTAGCAGCTCGTGACCTGTGACTGGGAGGCTTTTCCCAGTGCACAAGTGCATAGTCAGAAACTGCAGCTGCCTCCCGTGACTCTTCCTGTGCCCAAACAGTAAGAGTGTGTCATGCCTAATGCATTGCCAGGCAACGCAGTGTATCTGGGTGTGTCCCTTAAGGCTCTCTCCAGCTCAGTAGCTTATGCACAGCCTGCTTTGCCGGTGTTCCTGGCTGGCAATGTCCTCATGAGATAGCGTGCTCTGTAACTCACTCCTCCCGCTCTCCTCTTTCCCTGTCGGTACTAAGGATGGAAGCCAAGGCCTTTCGCTTGTTAGGCAAGTACACTACCACGAGCTACACCCCCAGCCTGTGACAGCTCTCTCCTGGTTTTAGTGTGCAAGGCTTGTATTCTCTTACACTGCTACATCGGGAGGCTGTTGCTAGAACTGGAAGTTTCCATTTAGCCTCGGAAGCGAGCCCTCCTTGAACCCGAAAGTTTGACTGTGGAAGACTCTAGTCACCCCTGCCCTCGACTGACTTTAGAGAAAATAACTTATCCTCACAAGGTGCCTGGGTGACAGAATGCGGCCCAACCTTTCATTTGAAATTGCATGAGACTGCTACCCAAAGGAGGATTTCTTTGCTTTGACATCATGTCTGGTGATTTTTGTTCTGTTTTTTAGGAATTTTAAAACAACTTTGGACTATGAGAGCCCCATATGAAATAGCCAAAACACTTTCTTTTCTTTTTTTTTGGGGGGGGGGTTGGTTTTTCGAGACAGGGTTTCTCTGTGTAGCCCTGGGTGTTCTGGAATTCACTTTGTAGACCAGGCTAGCCTCGAACTCTCGAACTCAGAAATCCACCTGCCTCTGCCTCCCAAGTGCTGGGATTAAAGGCGTGTGCCACTACCGCCCGGCTGCCAGAAAACGTTCTAGGGTTCTCTTGGAGTTTTGTTCCATGTAGACTTTTGTTGTTTATTTTATTTTTTTTTTAAGATTTATTTATTTTATTGATGAATACACTGTAGCTGTCTTCAGACACACCAGAAGAGGGCATCCAATCTCATTACAGATGGTTGTGAGCCACCATGTGGTTGCTGGGATTTGAACTCAGGACCTCTGGAAGAGCAGTCAGTGCTCTTAACCGCTGAGCCATCTCTCCAGCCCTTGTTGTTTATTTTTGTACACATTTGCTTATTTAATGTGGGTTTTGCCTGTACTGTCCAAAGAAGACAGAAGAGGGCGTCATATCCCCCTGGAACTGGAAATGCAAATTGTTGGGAGCTACCATTTGGGTGCAAAGATTCAAACCTGAGTTCCCCTGCAAGAGCGGCAAGTGCTCTTAATCACTGAACCATCTCTCCAGACCCCCATCTTGATTTTTAATGTCAGCCTTGGTTACATAGCCAGTTTGGGGCCTGAAGAGCCTACGTGAGATCCTGTCTCAAATAAATTGTCTGGGGGCGTGTGCCATTCAGTGTTGGTGGATTCGTTCTAAGTTGGATATTCAGCATTGAGAAAACAAAAAACTGGGCTTCAGCAATACGACTACCTTGCCTGGCCACCGAGTTTGATCCCAGGGACAGACATGGTAGTAGAGAAAGGTGCGCGAAATCTTAAATGCAGATATGAAAACAGGGGTTTCGGTAAGGGGGCTGGTTCTGGGTCTCGGGCGTCTCCCCGGGCTGCACACCGGGCTCGGGTGGGTCTCTCCAGGTCCCTCCTAGCAAGCAGGGCGGCGCTGCGGGGAAATTCCAGCGGGCAGCTCCTCCACCGCGGTGAGATCTCATTTCCTAGGGAGGCGGCCGCTGAGCACCGCCTCCATCCAGGCCGGGCGGCCAGAGCTGCTGCCACACCTCGGCTCCCAGGATAAATTTAGCTCTTCTATTCCGGTCTCTGCCCGGCCCTTGCCCTGCAGCCAACCGGTGGAAGTAGAAAGGAATGGGAGAAGAGATCACAGCCTGAAAACCCCATCATCCTCACATGCTTCAAAGCCCGACCCCAGTGCGTACACACTACTCACTTCACTGATCGAAAAGTATTTGTCCCTCGGACGTTTGTGGAGTCAGTCACCTTAACAGAATGGGATGGGAGGCAGGGCCCCCCTCATTATACAGGGGAACTCCAGAAAACAAAGGCACAAAGTGCTGGGCATGGTGGTGTCATGCCTGGAATCCTGGCACTCGGGAGACTTAAGTCAGAAGGATTGTGGCAAGGATCAGGCCAGACTGAGCTCCCGAGGGAGATTGCCTCAGAAAATGAAAACAAAAGTGGGTGTGGTGCCACACATCTGGGAGATTCTAGAACTGCCTCCTACACTCAATGTTTCCTTGGGACCTGCCTCTCTGCCTCTCTTCCAGGTCCAGCCCAGGACTCAGCCCACACCTCTCTAGGCCTGGCCCAGGCAGTTTCTATCTTCTTGTTTCCCATACTCCTTTTCTCTCATCTTTCCCTGAGGATTGAAACTAAAGGCCTAAAGTAAGCTAGGTAAGCTATATCCCCAGCCCTGGGTCCAGAATATTTTATGATGAACCATTTCTCACCTGAGGTCTCCCTATTTAAAAGCAGAGCTTCCAAAAATAATCTAACTGTTGGGCTGTCGATGAAGCTCAGTGGTAGAACAGTTGTCTGCTGGACAATTCCTTTTGTTTTGTTTTAAGACAGGGTTTCAGTTACTAAATAAGAGTGGCCAGGGGCTGGGAACAGGTAGGTATTCTGGTCCTGTCCTAATGCCACGTTTCAACGCCATTGCATTTCCTTCCCAATTTAGTAGCAGAACAAAAGGAAGTCATCAGTCGGAGAACTTTAAAAATACTTTGGAGGAGGGGCTAGGAGAGACGAAGCTCAGTGGTTAAGAGCACTTCTTGCTGAGGACACAGGTTCAATTCCCAGCATTCACACGGAGCCTTACAACCTGTTGGTAACTCTAGTTTCAGGAGATGGTGTGTTCTCTTCTAACCTCCTTCGGCATGCATGTAGTTTGAATGCTTGTGCATAAAAATAAACAAATGCATTAACAAATTTAAAATAATAATTAAATACTCATTAATTAATTAAAATTATACAAATAATTAAAAATAATACAAATGTAAAATGAAAATAATACATTGGTGGAAACATCAGGTGGGTAGGTGTCAGGTCCAAAAGAAACAAAGATCTGTGGTTCCTATTAGCATAGCAAAGCTCATGCGGGCGGTGCCAGCTAGCATCCTGGCTCTCTGCACCCCACCCATCTCTAAATGTCTCAGGTGCTGACGTTCTTAGATCTTGAGATGATGGAAGCTAGTGATTCCTTAGCTCATTCTGAAGAGGGTTTTGTTTGTTTGTTTGTTTGGTTTGTTTGTTTTTTTTTTTTTTTTTTTTTTTTTTGTGATAGGGTTTCTCTGTGTAGCCCTGGCTGTCCTGGAACTCACTCTGTAGACCAGGCTGGTCTCAAACTCAGAAATCAGTCTGCCTCTGCCTCCCAAGTGCTGGGATTAAAGGCGTGCGCCACCAACGCCCGGCTCTGAAGATTTTTAACTAATTGTCATGGGATGTTAGGTGAGACGCACAAGTGGGCAGTGACTGGTTAATAAAGGAGATATTTAAAGACTGGCTGTTTTCCCAGAGGACCTGGGTTTGATTCCCAGCATCCAACATGGCAGCTCACAGCCATCTGTCATTTCAGGTCCCTGGGATTGGACAAGGTATTCAAATCTTTTTATATTTCCTACCATATAAGACTTTATGCAAATGGTCTTTTGAGTTTCTTGCTTTTTGTTTTGTTCTTTGTTTTGTTTGTGTATTTGTTTCTGAGTTTCTGCAATTGTGTAGTCCTGGGTGTAGACCAGGCTGACCTGGAACTCACAGTGTAGACCAGGCTAGCCTCAAACTCAGAGATCCACCTGCCTCTGTCTCCCAAGTACTGTGAGTAAAGGCATGCGCCACCACTGCCAAAGATGACTTTTTCTTACTTTTAGTAATTGTGTGTCTGTGTGTTCGTGTGTGTGTGTGTGTGTGTGTGTGTGTGTGTGTACACTCGCACACTGAGAGCTACTATCAGTGCCCAACTGCTCAAGGCCCTCTGCAGCACCTGGTGTTGCTTTAGTATAAAAGGGTGGGTCCTTGTGAAGGTTCTCCTTGCATTTAAAAAGACCATACACACCCCCTCTGCAGGCTTCTGGAAAACTCCCTCCCACCTTCATCCAACCTCCTTTTTCTAACCTTTGCACCTGCTTCCTAAGAGTGGTTGCTTGAGGAGCCACCCTCTCTTGGTGAACGTGACAAGTAACGTTCAGCTCCTAGGAGAGTCCTTAGGGTAACAGGGTTAGGGGTGCACTGTAGGCAGCCTTGATTCTGTGTGGCTCATTAATCCGCAGGGCACCCTATGGTGTGGAGGAGGAAAAGCAGGAAAAAGGAAAACCTTTCCTGAGGTTCCTGCCTGGTAGCACACACGTGTTTAATCACTGCACTCAGGAGGGAGAGGCTGACAAATCTTTGTGAGTTCATTTCTGAGTTTGAGGCCAGCCTGGTCTACTGAGTGAGTTCCAGGATAGCCAGGACTACAAAGTGACACTGGTTTCAAAAATAGATAAATAAAAAAATATATATTTTTTGTTTTGTTTGTTTGGTTTGGTTGGTTGGTTTTTGAGACAGGAACTCACTATGTAGTAGTAGTTCTGGCTGTCCTGGATCTCACTATGTAGTCCAGGCTGGCCTCAAGTTACAGAGATCTGCCTGCTTTGGCCTCCGGAGTGCTGGGATTAAAGGTGTGTGCCACTACACCTGGGTAAAAAAAAAAAGTCTTCTAAACCCAGGCAGGTCACATCCTATGTCCTTGTAGAGTCTGCTTCACTGCACTCCTGGAGATGTCTACATTTGGACTGTCTCCTTTCCAGAGAGGGCTTTGCGACTCCATTGTTCTGTACCTCAGATGGGTTCTGGAGAGGCTCCTTCCAGACAGCTCTGCAGGCCTCCCCCAGCCTGGCTCCCAGGCTGTGCACCCAGCCTGGTGCACCACTGCTTTCTAACTGGGTGGTCTGGGGAAAAGACCTTTGAGGCTATTTACAATGGCACAGGAAGAGGATTAAAACTCCTTGGGTTATGTTAAGTGGAAGAACAAGTCTCACTACATGGACAATGTTAGCATGAGTCAGGATAAGGAAAGACCATGTGGGTGTGTGCAGTGTGTGTGTGGTGTGTGTAGTGTGATGTATGTCTGTGTGTGTGATGTATGTGTGTGATGTGTGTGTGTGTAGTGTGTGTCATTTGTGGTGTGGTATATTGTGGACCTGTGTACCAGAGGCTTTCCACGAAGATCTCCAGCCTGGCCAGGTTCGAGGGTTCAGACAAGCAGGGAAGGGGAGTCACCTCCACTGCCTCCACTGCTGGCTCTATCCCGTCTCCGGCTTCGCCGTCGCAGCTCCAGTTGTTCCAAGGTGCTGCACCTGTCACCAGGCTGAGCCTTCGAGAAGTGACTAGCCAGCAAGGATCCTGAAGGCGGTTCTGGAGAGATCAAATTACAGCTCTTATGACAGAAACTCTCAGACAACGGAGTCATTTTCCGCACACCTTTACTTCTTCCAGATAGGATTCTTATTTACAGTTTTGGGGTGGGTCAGGGTCTGGCAGCAGGTATCTCCTATTGGCTTGTTCTGAGAGCTTGGGAAGATCTTATTTACATGTGGGAGGGCCGAGGTCGCTGATCCTACAGACCTCTCTGTGGGGGACTGTGGAGACTGTAGCTATGTGAAAGGAGCCAGAGGCCCAGGAGCAAGGCCAAACCCCTGTCATCCCTGAGGGTCTCCCGGGTTCAAAGCCTGATCAACCAGGCACCCAGCTGCCTCTCTCAGCCCACCGCCCCCACTGTGTATATGTGTATGTGTGGTGTGTATAGTGTAGTGTGTGTCATGTGTGGTGTGTTTGTGTATGTGTGATGTATGTGTGTGGTGTGTGTGTCATGTGTAGTGTGTGTGTGTATAATGTGTGGTGAGTTTGTGTGCCTGTGTGTTGTGTGGTATGTTTGTGTGGTGTGTGTAGTGTGTGTGGTGTGTGTATGTGTGTGTTTTCCAGTCTGAACAGGCATCAGACTATTAGTGGCTATATTAAATTTCAGCCAAGCTTTTTCTTAGCCATCATAACTTTCACAGACCCTAAACTGAGGCCCAGGCTGGCTTCAAACTCTTGACAATGTTCCATCCTCACCCTCTAGAGTGCTAGAATTACAAGCTGGTACACACACATAAAGAGTGGCATGATTAGGAAGTATGACCTTGTTGGAGTTGGTGTGGCTTTGTAGGAGAAAGTGCATCACTGAGGTCTCAGATGCTCACGCCTGGTCAGTGTGTCACTGTCTCTTCCTGCTGCCCACAGATCAAGATGAAGAGTCCTCAGCTCCTTCTCCAGCTCCCGGTCGGATTGTGCTACACCATGCTTCTCGCCATGACAATGATGGATAAAACGTCTGAACTGTGAGCCAGCCTCAATGACATGTTTTCCTTTATAAGAGTTGCGGTGGCCATGGTGTCTCTTCATAGCAATAAAACCCTAACTAAGACACAGGCTGAGTCCTAACTCTCTCTTAACACTAGGTTTACCACCAGATCTAGCCATTTTGAAATCTATTTCAGCACACCTGAGTTTCACCTGTTCTACTCTTTTGCTCTCAATCTGTCAATCTACAGCTGTCCTTACTGTTAATCCCACCTAGGTGAGAATAAGACCACTACCACAAACTTAAGCCAGATTTTAGCAGCTTTATTAGATACTGGCCAGGATAATGGACTGGTCAGGTCCATTCCTGGGATTCCCAAAGAATGGTCATGAATTTTGTTAGTCCAGTGCTTATAAAGGCAAAACCCATGAGGCTACATACTTCCCACTTTCATTCAATCGAGGGCAAGCGTCCATCTTGACACACGCCCTGCCTATGTGCCTCCCACCTAAGTGTGATCAAGCACATCCTGTTCAGTTGGGGCAACCACCCTTGTTTACAGAAGTGAGAACACGTGACTTGTTATCTTAATTGAGCAACAGTCCCCACCATTTCGGGAAGATATCTGTCCTTGGGAGAGTGGGGATTACAGGTTAGAGGCATTTCTTCTGGTTTATATATCTTTCAAGAACAGTAATGTGGACTTACAAGAGCATTCTTACTTTATGTTATTGCTACTAAGTGCAAAATCCAGTCTTGGATCCAACTTTACATTAAGTTGTTCAACTAGGACTTAGGATACAAGGGGGTGGTGCTAATGATTACTCTTCAAAGGAACAAGGAAACCAAGAAAGCCCAGGGTGGTCAAAGGTGGAAAGTTATAAAATCTGGGTGAGGTGGGTAAATGAACTCTTTCAATACTTTTCTACTTTTTAAGTTTTTTTTTTTTTCCTTTTGGACAAGATTTTATCCTGTGGTCCAAGCCTTGGGCTCTCAGCCATCCTTTGTCCCAGCCTCACAAGTGCTGGGATTGCAGGAGCAAGCCATCAGATCCTGCCAGCACTTTAATTTCTTCCTAGTTTTTACTTGTTTCTTTCTTATTTTTGTACATGTGCCGGTAGTGTATTTGTATGCACATGTGTGCACACTTGAATGTAGAAGGCAGAGACTGATGCCAGGTGTTTTGCCCAGTCCCCCTACATCTCACTTTTTTGAGACAAGTTCCTCACCAACCCTAGATCGCACTAAATGACTAGACTGGATGCCCAGCAGGCTCCAAGGATTTGGCTGTCTCCTCTGCCCCTCCTTACCTCTTGCCTTCTCCCCCCAGCTGTGTTACAGATGTGTACCATCAATACCCAGCTTTTATGTGGGTGTCGGCAATCCAAATTCAATCCCTCATGCTTGGTGGCATATATTTTACTGACTGAGTTATGTCCCCAGCTCCTTAAACAAATTAAATTCAAATTTAATACAGGGTCTTGCTATGGTGCCCTGATTGGCTTTAACTCCTGAGTTTAAGAGATTCTTGGATCCTGGCCTCCTGAAGCTGATACTAAAATAGTTGTAATTGGTCAGGTGTAGTGCTGTATACCTGTAATCCCAGCACAAGAGAGACTGAGGCAGGAAAATCTGGAGTTCAAGACCAGCCTGGGCTGAAATACTCACATTCTATCTCAAAAGAAACAGGGGGCCTAGTGAGGTGGCTCACACACTTACTGTGTGAGCTTGATAACCTGAATTTTATCCATCAAGCTGTGGCACGAACACAAACATGCACACTCACGTCCACAGAAACGTGTGTACACAGTTCAATGATCTTTAATAATAACTGTTTCTGTTTTGATTATTTTTCCTTTTTTAGGCAGGGGCGGGTTTCAAGACAGAGTTTCTCTGTGCAGCCCTGTTCTGCAACTTGCTTTGTAGACCAGGCTAGCCTCAAACTCCAAAATCTACCTGTCTCTGCCTTCCTAGTGCTGTGTTTAAAGATGTGCACTAGCATGCCCAGCAATAAGAATACATTTTCAAGTATATATATGATTTTTGTAACAAAATATAACAACACACACACATACATACACACATACACACACACACACAAGAAAAAAACCAACTAGCCGGGCGGTGATGGCGTGCGCCTTTAATCCCAGCACTTGGGAGGCAGAGGCAGGTGGATTTCTGAGTTCGAGGCCAGCCTGGACTAGACTACAGAGTGAGTTCCAGGACATCCAGGGCTACACAGAGAAACCCTGTTTCGAAAAACCAAAAAAAAAAAAAAGAAAAGAAAAAGAAAAAAACCAACTACACTGAGAAAGAAAGCATGGTAGGAGCAGCATCATGAGATAGGTCTGGGCAGAGCAGAGCTGTCAGCTCCTTGTTTTAAGATGTGTCAAAGGTCCTGGAGGGGGAGGTACCTCACACCAGTGTTCTTGACCATCAGCAGGTGAAGCAATCTGAAAGATGAGGCCCCTGGGATATTTTTTAATTGCAGAGACTCACGGTCAGTGGCCTAATGTGAAATGACCCTGAGCATCTGGGTGACGAGCCCAGCCTGCTAAACTTGAATGGCTTTATCACCCAAGGGCTTGGAGGCACAGGGTAGAGCAGTCATCCATGCTTACTACAGACAGGCCTCTGTCCAGCCAAGGCTAAGTGTCCAGGACAGCTGGGTCGGTCTTCAGGTCTCGCTCTGTCCCCTTATGGCAATTCTGTATTATACACAAAGGGCTGCAGTAGGGTTGGCCCACTCTGAATTGCTGGACTTCCAGGACTGAAGTCTGTTCTCCAGGTCACACTTTCAGTGCATTTAACTCAGTGTTGTCAGGTAAAGGAATGTCAGGGCCCTTGTTAAAATACAAACTGTGAATCAGTGGATTGGAGAGGGGTGGGAGATTACATTGCTTTTTACCTTTTTTAATATTTGTCCTGAGTGTGTGTGTGTGTGTGTGTGTGTGTGCACAAAAGCACATGTACACACACACATGCAGAAGGTAAGGGGACAAACACCTCAGGTATTGACCCTTGCCTCACATCTTGCTTAAAGCAGATGTCTCTTGCTTACTGCTGTGTGTGTACTCCAGGCTTAGTGATGCTTGAGCTCCTGGGAATTCCCCTGTCTCTGCCTTCCATCTTGCTGTAGAGTGCTCAGATTACAGACCTGCCTAGCAAGGGTGCTCAGCTTTTACAGGGGTCTGAATTCAAGCATGGCTAGAGGTGTCTATACTCACTGAGCTATGTTTCCTGTCCCCTGACATTTCTACCTAATGTTGGCGGAAAATGTAGGGTTCATGGGCCTCACTAGTCAGTGTGTGCCTAGAATATGCTATCAAGAGCTCTGTCCTGGGCTGGAGAGACGGCTCAGTGGGTAAGAGCACTGACTGCTCTTTCCAGAGGCCCTGAGTTCAATTCCCAGCAACCACATGGTGGCTCACAACTATCTGTAATGGGATCCAATGCCCTCTTCTGGTGTGTCTGAGGACAGCCACAGTATACTCATATACAATAAATAAATAAATATTTTTAAAAAGAGCTTTAGCCGGGCGGTGGTGGCGCACGCCTTTAATCCCAGCAGAGGCAGGCAGATTTCTGAGTTCGAGGCCAGCCTGATCTACAGAGTTAGTTCCAAGACAGCCAGGGCTATACAGAGAAACCCTGTCTCGAAAAACAAAAAAACAAACAAAAAAAAAAAAAAAGAGAGAGAGAGAGAGAGCTTTGTCCCTTCAGATTGGTCTGTGACTGTCCATCAAGATGAGGGTACCCAGTAGGCCATAATTGCCCTGACTTGTAATCCTAAAATGTTAGATATAAGAGGAAGACACAGAAGCATTTTGAGTTCTAGGCCAACCAGTTCTAGGATATGGTAAAATCCTGTCTGAAAAAAAGAAATTTAAACCGGGTGGTGGTGGTGCACGCCTTTAATCCCAGCACTTGGGAGGCAGAGGCAGGCGGATTTCTGAGTTCAAGGCCAGCCTGGTCTACAGCATGAGTTCCAGGACAGCCAGAACTACACAGAGAAACCCTGTCTTGAAAAACAAAACAAAACAAAAAAAGGTGATAGAGAAATCTGACACTGACCTATGTTTTCCACATGCATTGGTGTGCACGCACGTGCACACACACACACATACACACTGAGTTTTAACTGGATGGTGCTGGGACACGCCTTTAATCTCACCATCTTGGGAGGCAGAGGCAGGTGGATTGATTGCTAGTCTATGGAGCAAGTTCAAGTTCTACAACAGGCAGAACTACACAGAGAAACCCTGTCTCGAAAAACCAAAAAAAAATAGTTAAAAAAAAAAACAAAACCGCTACCTAGCAAGACAAACAAAATGCAGCTGCCAGACACAGCTGGAGCAGTGAGTCCTTTAAACTCTTGTCATTGCTGCTAAGAGGGGCAGGGGTTGGTGACAGGCTCACTAGCTGCTAATGGGAACCTCCTCTACCCTGCCCCCCATCCCCACCCCCAGAGGGAGCTTTTTATCAAAGCCTGGCACCGCAGAGGGGTCCCGGTGGAGTAGAAGGACCCTGCCAGCCCGCCCTCCCCTCCCCTACAAAGAAGTGCCTCAGCTGCCTAAACAAGCCTGAATTTCCCAACCTGCTCATAAAACCAGTTTCCCCAGGTTCTTGCGATACAGTTTCTATTCATTGGGTATGCCTCCCCCATCTAGTTGAGCTATAGACACTCTGTCTTAAAAAAAAAAAATCCCTTTGTTATGGTGCCCTCCTTTCTCCTCTACTAGGTAGGATAACACTAATGTGGCATAAAGATAAATGTTAATAAAAAGAATACATTTTGACAGGGCATGCTACCAGCTCTGAGATCCACTGCAACACCAGAAAAAAAAACAAAACTCATTGCTTTGTGTGGACTGGGTATGGATGTGAGGATCTGCGCGGAGCGACATGAATATGTGGATTTCTTCACAGAACCAAGTACTGACCCTGTTCCTTCAGGCACGGTTCACAACCTCCCACAATCCCTATCACTAATTTATTAAGCACCTACTATGATGTAGCCACTTTACAAATATTTCCTCCAACCATTCCCCCGAAACTGTGCCAAGATTAGGCCTTCTTGCTTTCCCCCTCCTCTTTTTACAGTCCTAGAACTTGAACCCAGGAC